CCTCTGCAGTGTCTGTTTGCTCCACCAGCAACTTCCCTAGGATAGCACAAGGAGCTTTTTAACCTCTTCAGACTTTTTCTCCCATGAATATGAGGTTTAAATGCTCCCCATGTGCTCATATCACTAGACTTGTAACTTCTATTATTTTTAATAGTTCCTATGAATAGTAGAACACTCTTTGGGCCATTCAGGGGTATATTCAGGATAATAAAAAGAATTAGCAAAGATAGTGATCACAAGATTATTTGGGCAGCCTTTTTTTGCACACATTTGTTGCTCATTTAGATAAATTAAGCTCTATTCAACATTTTGAAAGGACCCTGAATGCAAGAATAGATGCATAAATGAAAAACAGCCATAGCATTTTAGCTAGAAAGCTGTTGAAGAGAGGGAGGAATTAATTTTCTAGAAGTTTATTTTCGAGTACAGGCATGAAATTCTACCTTACAAAACTTGTGAGGAAAATAACAAAACAGTGACAAGAGAGTATTTCCTTTCACTGATGTTCATTTTCTTGTTAGAAATTCTAATTTAAATTCTAACTTAAATATTTTCTCATTTAGTTGAAATACTTTTCCTCTGTGATTCCCTGTGTTCCAAAAATCATTCACTTTTTTCTTCTTTTTAGGTACCCTAATCTTGAAGCATTTTCGCTGGATGTCAGGCTTGTTTTTGACAACTGTGAAACTTTCAATGAAGATGATTCTGACATAGGCAGGGCTGGCCATAACATGAGGAAATATTTTGAAAAAAAATGGACAGAGATTTTCAAAGTGAGCTGAAGCTACTAGGACTCTTTTTTTCTTTTCTTTTTTTTTTTCCTTCTTTCAAATGAGGACTGATAAGACCAGCAATGTGAACTATATTTACATGGAAGTGCAAGGCACATACGTAACTAATTTTTTCCTTCAAAATATCACGGAGTTGTGATACTAGTTTTAAAGGCTTCACTCCTACAGCAACCATGGCCCCTTGGTTATTGGTTTGTGTGTTTTAACAAACTAATTTAGGTAGAACAGGGAAGCACACCCAAAGAATTTCAAAGAAAGGGGTGTTATAGTGCAATAGCAATTTATCAAAACGCACTGAATATTCAACCACCAGAGCTCTACTTGGGGAAATGGTTCTCTTTTCCCTTTCAATAAATATCTATTTTTCATTTTTTTTACTTTGTAGTTTATTTTTTAGTGAATGTATTTAATTTTATGAATTATTTATGATTATACAGCATTCAGAATCTTCGTTTTCTGTGAAAAGGAAGAACTAGAAAATTGCTTTAAATATTGAAAATACAACAAGGAATGTTTTAAAATATAAAACAAAGCCAAGTAAAACTGTTTACACTGATGTGCTGTGAAGGCACTAAAAATTAAACTTTACTGTAGAGTTACAAGTACATTTATATATATGTTGCTGCATCACTTGTGTAGTTAAATTGTATTTCAAGACAGTGAAGAAAAATTGAGACATGTATATACTGTTCATTATTGTTTATATTAAGTCTTGTTTTAAATATGTATGATGTGTACATATTGTTTGCAGACATTATTGTTTATGCCTTAGGAGGATGGTAGCATTTTATTTTAGTCTTAAGGTAATTATAGCTCTATGGCTTGTACAGTAATTATCCTCTACCAACACTGTGGAGTCTCCTTAATCTTGGTAGTGCCTGCCTTTAAAACAGGGTGTAGGGGATATTAGTTTTCCATTTTTTCTATTTTGTTATATAATTTCAAGCCCCCACGGCCTCAAATCCAAGTATAATCATTATTTGTATCCATGTGGAAGAAAATTGTGACAATTTCCTACGCACACAGTATTTTTTCATAGAAACATTTCCTCCATTTGCCTTGTCACAGAATAACAAAAGAAGACATTTGTAACCACTGTGTTTTATCTACTGTGTGTTGTGGTGGCCTGTTGGGGCAGATAGATCGGAATTTTTTTTGTACTAATGTAAGAGTACTTGAAGTTTTATTTAAAAGAAATGTTGTGGAAAGGTAGCATTCTTTTTCTTTTCCCTTTTTAGGAGTGTTATTTTTCACTAGTATGTGTGGCACGGATACAATAAAAGACTGTTTTGCAAACCAGATTTTCTTGACAATTTTAATACTTCAGGTCCTATGTACACAGGTTTTTTGGTTTGGGGTATTTTTTAGATAATATCTTGGGAGTCTTGCATTTAACATTGAGTTCTTTTTATGATGCATCTAATTCTCTTGGGCTTTTAATAGTAGTTCATAAGGAAGCAATTGCCAAGCAGTCAGAGAAGTTCCCTGCCTGTAAATAAGGGAGGTGTGCAAGGTCGAGATCGCTGTCCTCACAGACATGGACGTGCACGTGTTTGGTCATGTTCCTGACAACCGCTGTCCTCGTAAGGTTCTGTCCCTTCTTTGGCCTGTAGAAGGGCATTAATCATAATTCCTGCTCTGACTGAAGAAAATACAGAAATTACAAACAGATATTGTGGAACTGCAATATCTGTAGTTCTCTCAAAATAATGCTGGGGTGTTGGTTTTTGCTTTTAAACTAGGTCTGCCGTGTTTGAGTCTTAGTGCCTATTTTTTAATTAATGCTTCCATTGCTCTCCCCAGAATATCTTGTTCAGTAATATTTTCCTTTATTACAAAGTTCTGTTAGAATAATCTTTATTACTTTAAATAAAAAAAAGCACATTTGGGTGTCAGACAGTCTTGCATGCTAACGTGAATTTCCACACTGACTGCTCTGTGCCTTTCCTTTTCATGACCTTTCTGAAGATTTCAGTAAAGAGGTTTGCTGACATGTACCAGCGATGTGAAGATTAATCAATGTTTTGAATTTATGATGGTAAGCTTGTAAGAAGATGTTATAAATATGCTTAGGTAATTGAGAAATCTAGTTCTTCAATGATTTTTTTCAGATTTTGTGCTGGTTTATGCTTTCTTTGCAAAACTAGACCTGTTAGTTTTCTGAAATATCAGACAGGTCACTAGCTACACTACATATAATACCTATAGTACAAGTTGCTTTTTTTTCAGTTTGTATCCCAAGTCAGCTGAACAGCCGGGAAGGTGGCAACATCTACTACTAGAGTGATGACAGTGAGACAAGCATCTCCTCTAACTTGACATGGCCAGCGTATCACTTTCCTTGCTAACAGCCAGTGTCTTCATTTCTCTTGCAGTAAAATTAAATTTACAGGAAATACAATATTTGAATAGCCAGCTTGAGTCATACATATGCCCTCATAGATCCATAGAAAAGAGCAGGGATTTAACCACTAGAAAAATGTTGGTAACGTTTCCTCTTTGCTAATTTTCTCTCCTGTTGATGTTTGTATGTTTTCTTTAGAGGAAAAATTTTCCAGTGTGCTCTCATCCTTTCTGAACAAACATGACCAGTCTTAATTTACAGAATTTATTCTGAAACTTTCAAACTTACTATTTTATAGATATTGTAATGGTACTCAATGAAGAATGTTATGGTGGAGTGCGAGTTCTCTTTTGTCTCTTGTCATCTCTTTGGAAAAAATGGGATGATAAAAAAGCAGCTGAAAATCAAAATACCTATCTTTAAAAAGAGGTCTAAAGCCTTCTTTTTAACAGTGGCTGTCACCTAGGATTCAGAACAGTGAAAGACCAGGCTTCAGCCATCGATCACATCACACAATCAAATAAAATGCTATAAAACAGAGCATGAGATGGTACAGACTAAACACGGAAGGCCAGTCATTTACGGAATGCTTCCTGGGCACAGTGACTCCGAGGAAGTGACTTTGTCTTCCTCAAAACGTGTAGGTGCCGGCTAAACCATTTATTATGTATAAGTTGCTGAGCGTGTGTGTGAAGGCGGGGGGGAGATGGTGTAAGTTACCTGACGGCTGCTGGGCCTGGGGGAGCGCTCTTTGCTGGAGCTCCCCTTCGCTCTGCTCGAGGGCCGCGCCTGTGGCGGGCGGAGGCCGGGCTGAGGCGGTCACCGTGTCCATCTCAGCCGCAGAGCGTGGCCCCGCTGCCCGCTCGGACAGCGCTCTGACGTGAGGGCGCGGCAGTGGCCGGGATAGCATCCGGCCCCGCCAGTATGCCACAGGCGCTGGCACCGCCTGCGCCCACGTAGGGTTCGTGCCAAGGCAGCCATAGCGCCAGCGGCTGTTGTGCGGCTCCGCGCTGGCGCTGAGGGTGCGGAGGGCTGAAGGTCGCACGATCCGCGCCCGCGCTGCCTCGGGGCCGGGACCAATGGCGGCGCTAGAGCGGGAAGCTCTGGGTCCCCCCCGCGGCCGGCGCGCAGTGGCGCGGCCCGGAGCGGGGCGGGTCGGCCCGGAGCGCACCATGACGGGAGGCCGGGGGGGCACCGCGCTTGCGCAGCTCCCTGGGCCGTGCGGGGTGGCCGAGGCAGGAGGCGCCGCGGTCGGAGCGCGGTTGGTGCGGGCGGGATCCCCTCATGGCCGGCCCGGGGCCGTGACTGGTGACCGCGGGGTCCTCCCGCAGCCGGGGCAGGGTCTTGTTTACCCGACACGTGCCACTGGAGCTCGGGGTGACTCCGCCGACCTTCCGAGAGCGTCCCGGCCGCGCTGCCGGCGCGATGGGTTGGGTGGGGCGAGGCTGCGGGAAAAAGCAGTAGGGAAGGGGCTGCCAGCCGTGCCGAGAATTGCTGCAGCTGTTCCCGTGGGCCGGTGCTGCTGGTTTGTGGATTATAAAAAAAAATACGTAATTGCCAGAGATGATGCTGTGGTGCTGAACATCTCTCTGGTGACGAATGCTCCCGCTGCTCCTAGCTCCCTCAGTCGATTTATTGATACTGAAACCTCTTGTTCTTAGGTTTGCTTTTCTGCAGTGAGCTCCTGAAATTCTTCTGACAGTGAGATCAAGGTGCCTTTTTCAGCTCATCTTTCCAGATGTTAAGTTTTCTCTGACTCTTTGGTTTCTCGTAGTTGAAGAAAATATGTTTATTTTCTTTCTGCAGCTATCTTATTGATACTTTTTTATTTGTTTAATGGTTTTAGAGTGGTAGTAAAACTGAGCATCCTGAAGCTGAAGTAGGTAGTCTTCAATGATCTTGTCTTTAACTAAATCGGTGTGCCATACACTGTCTGAAGAGAACGAGTATTTTGCCCTTACATATGTACCTTTGTGTCTGTAGGTATATGTACGTACCTCTGCATATGTGTGCATACATTTATACATACTTACATGTCCACATACATACAAGCGTGTGTGTGTGTGTGTGTGTATGTTTCTATACAAAAAAAAAAAAAGCGTGAGTATATATAGTTTTGTTTGCAGATGCTTCAGCACTGAAATTATTATTCAGAATGAAACACTTATCTAAAACAGCAGACTATTATATAAGTTAATTCAATATAAATAGTATTTCTGGGTTTTCATTATAAACAGCTTATAAGAGCTATAGGTACTTCATTTTGGCTCTGTGCATTTGGGGATTTCCTGGACCTCAGCAGTGTAAATCACTTGTCTGATACAATTTAAACTGGTTCTAGCAGTTTTACATCCTGGAAAAATGTGTGTGAATTTCACATTGCCTTTTGTTATTCTGTGTAGCAGCAAATGCAATTTCTGGAGAGGTTCCAATGTTGATCACCCAATTAATATTCACATTTTGACTTAAATGTTTCAGTCAGGCTGGTCAAACTTTGGATTGGCAACACAAGTATGTGGTATTGTGCTGATGTTTTGCCATCACTACTGTTGCTATCTGTGAAAGTAAGCAGAAGGGAGCTCTTGGACAAATTCAAACAAAAAGGAAAAGGATGCAAGTAAGGACAGGTACATTGGGAGGACTACAGAGAGATCTTTCGGGCAGTCAGGGATTATCTTGGGAAGGCTAAGGCTGGGCTGTGAGGATAGTGAAGCCCTGGCACAGGGTGCCCAGAGAAGCTGTGACTGCCCTATCCGAGGAAGCATTCAAGCCCAGGCTGGATGGGGCTTGGAGCAACCTGGGATGAGGAAGGTGTCCCTGCCTATGGCAGGGAGTGAAACTGCATGGGCTTTAAGGTCCCTTTCAACCCAAACTAGTCTGTGATTTTATGATTCTCTGCTTAAACAATGCTAGGTGAAAATCCTACTTTGCAAATAGGTTTTTCTTTCCTTTTTTTTTTCCTTCAGAAGTTGTCTTGCTAAGGTAGTATGTTTCATTTACGGAACAGGAAAATTAAGTCTGTTTAAATCTTTTTCAGATTTTTTTTTTCAAATGGCGACATTAATTCACACTTTATCAGATCATAGTGATGATGTCAATTACTGTGCCTTCTCGTCATCGTGCTTGGCTACTTGTTCCTTGGACAAAACAATTCGCGTTTATTCTTTGAGCAACTTCGCCGAGCTGCCGTACTCGCCTTTGGAAGGTCACGCGTACGCCGTGCACTGCTGCTGCTTCTCGCCCTCGGGGCTGGTGCTGGCCTCGTGCTCCACGGACGGCACCGCGGCGCTGTGGGACACCCGCGACGGCCGCAGGCTGGCCGTGCTCCAGCAGCCCGGCGCCAGCCCCGTCAGGGTCTGCCGCTTCTCGCCGCGGGCCGCACACCTGCTGGCCGGGGCCGCGGATGGCAGCGTGGTTCTCTGGAACGTGCAGGCCAGGACACTCTACCGGTGAGTGCCAAGCGTTCTCTGACAAATACTTCGTTTCGAGGTGAATGTAGTTCAAGCGGTACGCTCTACCGAATACAAGATATGTAGACTTACACCACCCATGGATATCACAACCAAACGGGGATAGGATTTAGATGACCAAAAGATTATCGATAGGAGAGGGAGAAGTGCTAAGTAGCTTTTTGGTTTTTTAAGTTAAACAATGCGAACTCAAGAAGCTTTAATTTTTACAAGGTTATTGTACATCTTAATCCTGATTTTTTTTAAAGTTAATTTCATTGATTTAACATGAGATCAGGATGCATTGCACACTGTATGCATCTGGTTTCTAAAGGGTGGGTGAGCAAACTGTGGTACATAATACACAGTTAGTGGAGCCTGACTGTACTGTGTGCTTTATATTGCATTTGCATATAGTAGTATAAATTAAATGTTTAATTATTAGGAGTTTGGTGCCCAGGAAGGTCTTAGAAGCTTGCTGGTAATCCAGCAACCAGAGTTTGGAAACTATGGACCTGTCCTGAAACTGTACATTTTAAGACATAAAGTGACTGAAAGAAGTATTGGTGCTAAATAAGTTAAGCATGACAGACAGCATTTCACATAGGTTTCCAAGAAACATTTGAAGCAAAGCAGATGAGTATATTAATTGGTGTTGCATCGTTAAAGGCATGAACCTTAGAGCTATCTTCAGAGTCCTCCTTTACATCTCTGTCTTTCAGTGAATTCTTTAGGCCAGTTGTTGTAATCTGTACTTGGGCAAGACATTATTTAGGTTTTAGGGCTTATTATCCAACTAAATTACTCTCTAAAGTTAGAAAAGTAGTTAAGAATTTGAGCAAACTGATGTTTCACTCAGGATTGAGGGAGCAGCTGTTTCTGAAAGACAGAAGTGTTTGATCTTGGTAGTTCCCTGTCAAGCATGTCCCTCATCTTGTGGCCTCTTTGCCTTCCACAGCAGTGATTTATGTGGGAAACTGTACAGTTTTTCAAAATGATTGATTATAGTTACTTGAAATTCTGTAAATCTGGAAATTTGTCCATAAATTGTCCAAGATTTTTGCCACCATGTTTTTTGTAATGCATAAAGAAACACTGAAATGGTTTCTGGTAGTAAAGAGGTACAGATAACCTGTTTTTTCCTAGTTTTATCTTTCAGAAAAATTAGGAAATTCAGTCATTAGTATTCTGAAATCTGAGGGTTTGTTTTGAGACATTACTAACGAAGAGATCTCTTTTTTTTTATTCAGAATGCTTGTTGCTGAAGGGAAAACCCCAGAAATATGAAAACAACATTTCTTACAATTGTATGCTCTTAATACATGCAGTGGTGCATATTTTAGGCCTACATCCTAATTTTCTTCTAGTTCAATGGTGGATGTATAATGACTACAAAGAAATTATATTGTTATTACAAGCAGAAATTATTCTGCTTTGGTGTTTTCATTGTAGAGAAATAAGAAAAAATTTGAACATTATGATCCTATCCCCTTAACTACTAAAAGTTCATTTCAGAGTGTTAACAGGCCAGCAGTAGTCAACTTTATATCTATTTTGGGATGTGCACGTGTGTATGTATTTTCAGGTGATGAATATTTTTATTGTGATTTGTAATTGCAGGTAGAAAAATGCACATGTCCTGTTTTTAATAGTTGAAATCAGTATAACATAGAAATCATCAAAGTACTTAAAAATTATGTCAGAGGAAGTTAGTTAACCATCTAATGTCAATCTGTGGTCCTCTGTTTCTTTGAAACAGTTGATTGTGTTGATGCTGAAAATGAGAAAACATTTTACTACACTCTTTTGTCAGTTGACTAAATATATGGATGGTAATTATAATAAAATTACATAAAATTTGCTCCTTATCTACTCAGCTGTTGTAATTGACAGTTCAGATGGTGAAGTAAGGTGGCTATTTAAATAACTTCTGTAGTGGATGTAAACAACAGGAAAGCAAGTTGACTTGTGTGTATTTCTTACTGGTCTCTATTTCCTGTTCAGTAGTAAGTTACAAAACTGGTATTTGGCCTGCAAATTTTAAATTCATGCACAATGCTATTTATTTTACTGTTGCTTTCAGAGCAGAATCAGCAACTTTTTGTGTGAAAAAATGGAGTTTATAAAAGCTACACTAAAGAAAAAAGATTGTACATATAAAAATGGGAAGCACTGTAATGGATTTGATAATATTCTTAATAAAAGAATTAAGGGATACAATGCTTTTTAGAAGGTCATGGGTCTGATTAGTGTGACACTGAGTAAAATTTGTCTTCTGTGACATTAAGTTTGACACCTCTGGCAGTAAATAAAATTTCTGTCAGTAAAAGAGCATTAGCAGCTGTTCTACGAAGTATGATGACAGAGTAAATAGTTCTGACATACTTTTCATGTGACTGTTTCTCATGGCTGTGATTTTCTCCCCGCACTTAAAGACTCAGCTGTGCACCCTTGGCTGGGTCTGGTGTCCATTAAAAGGAGTCAGACTCTTTCAATTAACTTTAGGTTATCAGACAACATAAAGGATGTCAGGTTGACCCCACTTCCTTCCTGAGGGTTGACCACTCTTCCATATGTGCTAAAAATTTTCTTTGAAGATCAGTTTTGCAAAGTGCTTTGGCTGACTTAATTAAAATACATAATTTCTTTTCCATCTTGCTTTCCGTTGTGTTCAAGTGGTGCAAAATTAATCCTACATCATAAATCACCAAGTATACCACTCAGGTACACCTTATCATATGGGCTATTAGGTGTTCTCTTTTGTCTCTAAAACAGAAGAATTGTCAGTCTTTTCCCCCCTTGTTTGTGCACATGTAAATCTGTATTAATTATAGTTGTATATTTATCTTTGACTTTTAAAATGTATCCTGCCATAGAATTTTAACAGCACATTGTGCCTTTTAAGTGTTAAATCCATGCAAATTGTCTTTAGTTTGAAAATTATTTTATCACTCAGTTAAAATTATTGCCTTGGGCCTCCATCTCATGTTTTTCCTCCTGCTGTCAGAGCTGGTCTGGTCCCTGCTGCAGAGCTTATTTCGCTCTCCTTTCATAGCTGGTTTGGGTTTCTCTTTCCTCTGTTAGCTAGTTCCAAAGTGCAAACCATAGAAGAGTTTGGCTTATTGCATCAGACTGCATTTGAGAGGTCACTTTGTAGAACTTTAACTACTCTCAATTCAAATCCTGTGTACTCTTGCTTTTCAGATCCGGGAAAGTTAAAGGTGGTTCTTTGATGGCTTGTGCATTTTCTCCCAATGGAGACTTCTTTGTCACTGGATCATCTAGTGGTGATTTAACCATTTGGGATGATAAAATGAGATGCCTGTATAATGAAAAAGCACATGATCTTGGAGTTACCTGCTGTGATATTTCTTCACATCCAGTATCTGGTTAGTTACTCAACTCATCAGGGGGAACATTTTTAAAAAGAGATGTTTATTTCTCCCTAGCTCTTGTTTTTGTATTATTTTTGCCATTGGTGCTCAAGATACAAATGACCTTGTGAAGAGCTGATGTTTTGGAATATTCTGAATATTCTTAAGTAAAGGTTGTGGTCAGGTGGGTGGCAAGAAATGTACTAGGTCAACAGACAAGGTGATAACTTTGAGTAGCTAATCGCCCCCATGGCAGACACGGGTGTTAGGAGATGAAGTGTTTGATTACCATTCCCACTTGTCTCTTTCATACTTTGGTTCCCAAGGAGCAGGACTGGATTAAAACAATGCAGAGAGCTGTAAATCTAATAAGCTAAATGCTTGAACTTTGGAATATGAACAGATAGGCTATTTTCCTGCACCTGACTTTGTCATTTAGAGGAATTTGGGGGAGTAATGAGCCCAGAATCTCCTGCATTCCCCTAAGATGTTCAAAAATCTTGGAGCTGTTTTAGCATTTGATCACATAGTCATTTGCTTCTAATGGAGGTTAGGAAATTGGGAAGAAATCTCTTAGTCAGGAAGCAATGAAGCAACTTCACTTAACAACCTTGTATGTATACTTTTGTGCTTTCCAGATCTTCATAGACATATTTAGACTTTTATATTCAGAATACACAAGCTGCCCTTTCAAAACCCCAAAATTTGTAACTGAGCAGCCACTTGCATCTTCAAGTGCTGGACCTGGCAATAAGTACTACTGTGTGTGTACCACCCTGTCTAAGGAGGTGATGCAGAGCAGAAGAAAACAGGAGAGAAGCAGTGGGAAAGAAAGCAGGAGGAACCTGAGGAAGAAGGATGTGACATACACTTCAGAACAGAGAATTAGTGATTGACAATACCAAATCAAACATATATATGCCCTCTGAAAGGTGTAGGATCTTACTTGATGAAAATACTACACAAAAAACTCCATCATGAACTAAGAGTTGCATCTGAGACCAAAACATATGTTGCAGCTGAAACAGATTGGAGTGTAATTTCCACCACTCCATTTCATATTGAGATTATTCTCTAGGTTTAAAAAATACAGCCTTCTGCCAAGATAAACAGGCAACAAAGCAGGTATTTCCTGCACTGTGGATTTGTTCTGGCTGATTTCTGATAATTTTTGATTTTTTAATCTATATATTACTGAAAGTCAACACATTTCTTTTTGTATGTTGCTGTTTAGTCATCAATGGTTGAACCTTCTGGGATTTTTGGCAGATTTAATACTTTATGAAATGCATACAAGTAGTGCTTATCCAGAACAATTATAGATAGTTTTAAACTATATTTTAAACTATATTTAAGATAGTTTTATCTCTCTTTACCTGCTTAATTCAGAGCGAGTTTTGATCCAGAGTGTCTGATAGGTTCTTTGTGCTTTAGGCTGTAATAGGTGATTCTTCTGCCTTTGAAGTGGATTCAGTCACAGTTGCCTAGGAGCTTATGGCATCTAGAGCTGTTGTGGTGGAGTTTGGTGGAGTTACCATCTTAAGGAGTATAGGTCAGGTAAGGAACAGAGGCAGGCTCCTGCACTTTAGGAAGGCAGACTTCCAGCTCTCCAGAGAGGTTGCCAGTGGGATCCCCTGGGAGACTGCCCTCAGGGACAAAGGAATGGAACAGAGTTGGCAGATCTTTAGGAAGGTCTTCTACTGAGTGCAAGAGTCCGTGGTCCCCAGGAGTCAGAAACTGGGCAAGGAGGGCAAGAGATTTGCATGGCTGAGTCAAGAACTGCTGGTCAAACTAAAAGGCAAGAAGTGCATGCCCAGGCAGTGGGAGCAAAGATGTGTAACCTGGGAAGAGTAAAGAGATGAGTTACGATTGTGTAGGGAGGGGATGAGGAAGGCCGAGGTGAAGCTGGAACTGAACCTGGCAAGTGATGCAATGTTCCCAGCCCCTCACCCACCAGCAGCCCCAAATCCTTCTTGGCAGGGCTGCTCTCCACTGTTCACCCCCCAGCCTGGATTGTCACTGGGGCTTGCCCCAGTCCTGCTGCTGCACCAGCACCTGGGATCCCCATGGGCCAGCGCTCGGGCTTGTCCACGTTCCTCTGGGGTCCTCCACATCCTTGTCCTTCTTGTGTCACCTGCACCACTCAGCTTGATGTCATCTCCAAATTTTCTGAGGGTGTGCTTGCTTCCTTCTTGTGCCTATTAAATATCTTAATGCAGATATTACATGGCACTGTTCCCAATACAGAACCCACCCAGAGACACCACTGGACACCACTGGTCCATTGGGACTCTGAGCCATTCACCACTACCCTGAGGTTGCAACCATCCAACCACTTGTGCATCTAACAGTCCAGTCGTGGAACATGATTCAGAAATGTTCATAGCCACTGAATCCAGAAGGGAAAGCTATAAAACTATTGTTGTATTTCACACTTAATGCAGTATTTACTGAGTGTTTGGCTGGACTGCAGTCATGAAATGTCAGTTTATAAAAGTGAAAAGTTAAATGTGTACAAGTATGAAAATTCCCTGTCAGATACTCTCAAATTTTGTATGTGTATGTGGTTGATTTTGAGAATTGCAGAACTGTAGAAAAAATGGATATAACCATATAATTTAGATTTAAAGACCCTAGCCGTATAATTAGAGGATTCAAACATTTCCCACCAAGAAAATTTAAAACATGAGCACAGCTCTATTCTTAATCTACTTATTCAGAAAAGAGTATAATGATACCTATTTCTTACGTCCAAACTGTTTTAGAACTTCTGCAATGATTTTATGCTGATGTACTTTACTGATCTGCTGTTATTTTCAATGTTTCTGACTCCCATTTATATATTTTAATTTTATCAGATAGTGAAAATGGATTCAAATACTTCCAGATGGCTTCCTGTGGACAAGATAATCATATCAAACTCTGGCTTATTTTGTTTGCAGATTCCTTAGGTTTGTATAGAAATGTTTTTTGGATCTACCAATGTCTTAGGTCTTTAGTGACAATTTAAATTGAAAATCAAATTTGTACTACTGGATTCACAGCCAAACTAACCACAAGTTGAAAGTTTTCTTTTAATTATTAGCTGGAGAACAGCTAAGGCATTCAGCACTTTGTGATGCTGTGCCATGTAGATTTTATTTAGCAATCTATTTAACAAGTACTGTAAGTAAAGATTTTAAAAAAATTCTACCATGGCCTTAGCGGGTTGATAGGTTAAAACCTCTTACTCTGCCTGGCCAGGGAGAGGTTTGTTTTCACATTTCAGTATATCCTGGGACTTGAATAAGAGTTGGAGAAAAGAATGTTGACTCCTGCAAAAACTACAATGTAGAGACTAAGTAAATTTGCCAAAATATCTTCAGTGGGTGCTTTTTTGTAATCTCCTTTATAAAAAAGTATGTAAGCATTAATACTGTGTGTCCAGATATACATTTAATTATCTAAAACCTTGTGAGACATGCTAAGACTACAAAGTGATAAAGTTCGAGCTATCAAAAGGGGAAGTTGTCTCTATGGTCTTTTTATCCCCTTTTTTGTAAACAATATGTCACAGAGTCACATCTCTGGTGGAGCTTTGGGCTTCTTAGAGCAGCTTGTGTTATACCTGGTCAAATATAGCCATATGTAATAATTTACTTTTTTGTATTTTTAGGTGTTCAGTTAAAATATAAATGCACCCTGAATGGGCACTCTGCCCCAGTTCTGGCTTGTGCATTTTCATGTGATGGACAGATGATAGTCTCGGGGTAAGCAGCACCTTGTTAAAATGTCAGGCTGTCCAGGTTCGTGCTTCAATATTGTAAAACAGAAAGTTCAAAAGAGTTAAAAATTTCTAAATATTTCTTATCAATAATTAAGGAATAGTTCTGTGACCTCTAGAGCTGTTGAAGTGTCTTTACAATCAGTCTGTGTCTTGTGGGTGATTGAGTTTGAAATCTTGGGTTGTGGAAAAAGTTAATGAAACACTTTCCTTTTCCTTCTCTGCATCACTTTCATGTCAATGTATTTTTTTAAGGTCTGTGGACAAGTGCGTCATAATCTATGAAACTGTAAGTATAGCATAATACAGGATCATTTGTTGGGCTTGTCTTTAAATATAAGCACTGCTTCTGCAGTGTTGTAGCAATGAAAAAATACTAAAGAATACAAGTTATACTAAGCCAAATGCTTACTGTGCATTTGGGGGCAGGAGGGGAAGGAGTCTAAGGAAAAATATCTCCTGAGAGTTGATCAATCTTTCTCACTTTCTATTTATATTGTGAGGATTTGTCAGTTGATTTCTCTGCAGCAGGGTGTTAATTAATTCCATACTTTTACAAGATTCATATTGAAGTGGAAGGATTTTTTCTTATCCTAACTTTAGCTTAGCTTCCAAAGCACAGAAGACTGTAACTTTTGACATAAAATCAGGAATGGTGAACATAAAAATTCTGTAGTTAGCTATATGTAAAGTGCAAATAGAAGCATAATAAAGAATTCAAGAAAATTTTTATATTAAGCACAATGTCTTTAAAACCTATTGTTTAAGCATTTTCTATAGTAACGGTGTTATCTCCTTTATGATTCACCTGTAAGTGATAAATATGCCTTTAATACTTTATAGTATTAAAAATAATAATTTTGCTGAAAATTACAGATGAACAAATTTTAAACTTCTTCAGCTTGCTCTGCACATACTTGTTGTATTGATACCATTTTTAAATTAGCATTAAAGTTTTTCACCAAAATCACTAATACAATACCAGCAAAGTTTTTGGCCCAGTTATTTCAGTAGTTTAGACAGGTATGTAAGATGTCCTCTAGAGTTCAGGAGCCTCAGAAAACTGGAAGATGAAGGAAACCGCAGCCTAAATATTTCTTAATACTGTTCATCAGCTTTTGTGGCCTTAGGTTTTTATTAAATGGGACAATAACTTTTCTAGTTCTGAAATTCTCCTTTGGATATACTCAAAACCTGCCTGGACACCTGCTCTAGGTGATGCTGCTTTAGCAGAGGGGTTGGACTAAATGATCTCCAGGGGTCCCCAACCATCCTGTGATTCTGTGGGGAAAAGTGGGGACTTTTAAATAAACCTTTGTGGGAGGGAGAGAGATTTCAACCTATATTAGGGAACTTTAATCATGTTGGACAGCTCAAAATATTGGAGTGCTGACTGATCAATTAGTGATTCAGAATAATTTTGCTCATCATCTTTCCAACCTGTCTGTACCTGTCAAAGAAATGCTATTTTTCATAGGAGGGAAAATCTTTCCATAATAAGTTAAAACTGCCAAAATTCAGGAATTTCATTTTTTAGTTAGTATTTCATGGCCAAATAGAGAATAGGCCAAATAGGTGTGGTTAATTATTGGTCCAGTTGAAGGCTTGTGAGTTGACCCCCACAATGACCCTTTTGGTAATTTCTAATACAAGATTTATAGAAGAGATGTCTTTATCTACACAACCAAGCAGCCAATATGGATTTAATTCAGTCAGTGTTCCAGCACTCTTCTGCCTGCATGTTCCACGCTGGCTGATTGTGCAGGGGAACAAGGCTCCAGGGCATCAAATAGGGGCTTAAAGCAGGAGAGTCAAGTTGTATTTCTGATTCTGCTGCTGATCAGCTTTGTCAAAGTTGTGTAACTTCTCTGAAGGTACCTTCTGTCACCTTTCAAGAAGCAATATTCCCTGTTTTGAAAGGAAGCAAACAAGTGAAGAAACACTTTTTTTATTCTTTAAGATTTAAAATCACAAAAACTTTTTTACAGAGTACTGGCAATACCCTTCATATTTTGTCTCAGCATACAAGGTAAGTAACCAGCATGATTATTCTGTTTCATAAATAAAAGAAATCCTTTTCTAATGAATTTTCAGACTTTTTTTCATTTGTAGATATGTTACAACTTGTGCTTTTGCACCACGTAGTCCTTTACTTGCCACAGGCTCAATGGATAAAACTGTGCACATATGGCAGCTTGACCTTAAGCAACCCTGTGCAGGTCAGTGTGTGAAGTATTTGAAATCTGTTCTTTTAAATTCAAAACACCTTCTGAAGATGCAAAAATCCCTTTCTTACCTGCACTTAATGTGTAACATCAGGATTGTGTGCATGCTTTTTATCTTCTAAGTAACCTGACTAATGCCCAGAAGAGGTCTTCTCTTTTTGTTGTTTTGTAAAGAAAAAAATACTAGACGTATTTTAGTTTTAATAATTTGGTCTGTCTGTTTTTCTGATATTTGCACTTGCTTACTTTTTGGCATTTAAGAGGTGAATGTTATTGCCAGTGTTGAAGCACTTCTTGGACACGCGTAATTTGTGACAAGTTGAAAAACTGCTAATTGCAAGTGTAATTGTCAATTAGAAATGCACCTTACCAGTTGTTATAGGTGAAAAACTAACTGTACAAATGACATTAGTGCCATTAATATAGGATAACTAATGGTACAAATTACACCAGCACCTCAAGTGTGTGGAACAAAGGTACATTTTGTCTTTTTTCAAACCACAACAGTAAGTTTGGATTTTGGTGTGCCTTCTAAGGATGTGCAAGGTGATTCCAGTGTCTGCTAGCACTTTTCTGGTTGTTTGTTAAATTCAGATTTGACAGAAGTGTAGGCATCTAAGAGATTAAATTCCTCTAAACTTTGAAAATTGACAGGTAAAAGGTAAACCCAAATTACTGCCCTCCCTCACGAAAGAATCTCTAAGAAGCATTTATTTTCTTAGTTGAAGAATGTATAGTACTGAGAACACTTAAAAACAGGATCTATTAATGACATTGTTTCTTTGAACTGAGAATTTCATTGTTGTTTGCTTTTGGGGGGTTGTGATGAGTTGGTTTTTTTTTGTGGGGGAGGGAGGATAGTGTTGTTTGTTTTTAATTTGGGTTTGTTTTGTTTTGTTTTTTAACTCTTTTTCATTTTCAAAGGAGGTACTGTAGAAAATGAGTCAAAGGTGGCTATTGAGGACTGGTCGGAGGATGATGTTTCAGCCTGGCTCTGTGCACAGGATTTAGCAGACTTTGTTGGACTGTTCAAAATGAATAATATTGATGGCAAGGAACTACTGAATCTTACTAAAGAAAGTCTGGCTAATGAATTAAAAATTGGTAAGAGTATTGAAATCCAAATAGGTTTTAATCTCTAGAGTACTTTGAAATGTTGGAATGAAAACAAGTTAGGAGTTCCATAAATGGATTTTTTCCCCCCTGAAATGCCTTTCTTATTTCATTTCCAGGGCTGTTAAAAACCCCCTTATTTTACATTGTTCACAGTATTCCTTTTTTTTGTGTGTGTTTGCTCATACCTGGTGACGTACAGTGCACTTCCACTAATGATACTGTTAAATGGTCTTACCTGATTTTGTTTCTATTTTCCTTGTTTGATCTTGTATTATTAAGCTGTGGAAAAGGAATTTCAGCTATGCTCTATAATTCATGTTTCTCACTTTGGTAAATAGGGTAGTCTATAGTTTTTCCTATCAGTCTGCAGAAGTGCAATGTTTAGAATTGCGGGTGGTCACCAACCTTGAATTGAACAGTGACATTCCTAAGTGTGCATTTGATGATGACTTTTGGTAAAGACCAAGCAAAGCTTGCCTGGCTCAGACAATTTCTAATACATCAGGTTCATACATTGTCCTATTGCTTTATTGCAAAACTGTGATTACATTTTAGAAGGAATCAAAAGGAAGCACCATATAAGTCATGATTCCACAGTGGTCATTATGAAATAAGAAGATTTAAAATAGTGAACTGCACTGGAACTTTCAAAATGCAAGTTCTCTATTACTTTTGATGGCCAGATTTAGATGTAAATTAGGTGCTAATACATTCGTGAAAGTGAGGTCAAGTATGACAAAAGCCTGAATGAGGTAAGAAACCTATTAAAAAGTACAGCTGGATATTTTTTGTTGTAGGAGGACTGCTCCCTTCCTTTCTGTGTGTGTGGAATTGGTCCATATTGGATCATACTATCTCTGTGTAACAGCTGGCTTTGTTGAAATCTAGAAATAACAGAAATGCTGGGAATCTGTCAGGAATTGTCATCCATGAAAGACACTTGGCTTCCTCAGTTTAGGCAAACATTTTCCTTAGCATTGAAGTAGCATAAAACTTTGTTGCAGCAATTGCCAGCTGAGGCTAATCAGATAACGCTGACTAGAAAGTTCTGTGAGAATTGAATGTAGTGTGACTTGCTACAAAGAGATTCTCTGTGGGGAGAAGGTATAGAAAGGTATAGAAATTATGGCCTCATATATTTGACTTTAAAAATTGCTCTTTATCTGCCATAGCTCAAGCATTTACAAAATAGAAAAATACTATTTGCCTAATATGAACAACATTTTTTGTGTTATTCATATTCCTTTTTAACTAAATTTTAGGTGTCTACCACCATACAAATGCTTGAATGAGCATGTTCTTTCTCTCCTTGATAACCTGTTTTCTTTCCTCTGAGACTGTGATGTAAGATCTTGCTAAAGACCTCTACAAGTTTTTCACAGTCTGTGCAGTTTGGAACAGAACACATCAGTGTTCTGATGTTCTGCAGGCTCAGGCACCTTTGATTTGTGCCTTTGTAAGCCCAGACAGTGCTGCCCAGCAGGTGCAGGGTATGTTTGAGCAGGGGTGCGGAATGCCAGTGTGAAGGCGAAGGGAGATCCAGTCTCTCCTGCTCCCTTTGGAGGTGCACATCTGTCCCTTCCCCGTGGCACCGCTCGGGCCGTGCCAGGGCCAGCCCTGCTCTCGCGCTCTGCACCCTGCACGGCCACCAGGCCACTGCTCTGCCATGGCTCTGCTACACTTGTGCTGCTTTTACTGATGGTTTTCATCACTACCCAAAGCTGCTGTTGCCCAGCAGAGAGAGAACCTGTGGCAGAGCTGACTGGAGTGGGAGCCAGGGCTTTTGGTTTAGGGGGTGGTGAGATGGAGCTATGTCTCCTGTAACATGGATGCTGACTATTCCAAAACCTGACCTCTTTGCCTTACCTGTTGTGCTGTCCACTTCATGTACAAATCATTTTTCAGAGTCTCTAGGCCTGCGCAGTAAAGTTCTCCAGAAAATTGAAGAACTGAGGATGACAATGACCTCGGTTTCTGTTCCTGATGAGTTCCTATGTCCTATAACAAGAGAGCTTATGAAAGATCCTGTCATTGCCACAGGTATGTCTCTACATGACATAGACTAAAACTAATTACTTGAGGGTAAAGATAGGCCCATTTTTGTATTCCCACACCTATTTAACAGCAGACTTAGAAAGATAAACTATTCTAAATAGCTGTAGCAACAAACCAGAATTGTGATAAACATTTAATTTGCTGAATTACAGCTCTGATATGGAGAAAAATACTCTTATCAAGCAACTTCTTCCTTTTCTTAATGTGCCTCCCTCTATGTGCCTTTGTAAATATAATTACAAGCCTAATTACAGTGTTGGCTCAGTTAATGCAAAATGGAATTGTGCATTCAGTAGGGCAAAAAGGAAACAAATCAAACCAGCCCCCCACAAAAAAAAAAACCCAAAAAACCCCACCAAAAAATCCCAGGCTCATTTCTATGCTTAGCACACCATCTGTAGGGCACTTAAAAGTTTGTACAGAACGAGACTCCTATAAATGCAGCAGCCATTGGAACTGTGATATGTCAGCAGCATAAGATGTTACATAGTTAAAACATTTTATGAAGAACTATTGTTTTGTAGTTCTGTTCCTGGGGGGAGAGGGAAGGGTAAGCATAGAAACATCAGATCAGTATTTTTTTTTGTTGCTCTGTAAACAGTAACTAACTTCATCTGGTTCTGAGGTATTAGGCAGACTTCTGAGAACTAAACTGGCCAAAATACAAAGACATTTGCTAACTGCTGGAGTGATAGCTGCTTTATTCAGTAAGGAGTAAGGAGACAAGAGGAGGGGCATAGGGCCCAGGCTTGTATTCTACCACAGATATTCCTGGGTGACTGATACTTAGCTGGGGCCTAATTTTTGCTCTTTAAGGATCAGATGGTTCAGCTACAAACTCTTAAGAGCCAAAGTCCTGAACCTGGGCAGGTGGTGAGGGCTCTGCACAGGCACAGCTCAGGGCTGGGTCAGCCAGGTGGACAACGCCCCTGTTCAGCAAAGCAGAAGGCTTTAGCTGTGTTAGGCAATTGAGTTAGGTAATCAGCTTTTACTTCACATTATGGATCATTCAAACTGAAAAGAAAGTCTTATTTAACTTGTGCATAATATATTTTGGTGCTTTGCAGGCAGAGATAGATATATGAAACTAGCCAGAACTGTTTGTATCCACTGTAAAGATTTCACATAGAGTGCACTTATTCTAGATCTCAATTTTCCTGTTTGCATGTATTTATTTCCTTACTTCCCTTTTACATTTAAACAGCTAACATCTGCACAGTGCCACAGTGCCCAAGCCTCTGTACTATGAGCTTTTGTTGATGGTTTCTTTGCAGATGGCTATTCCTATGAAAGGGAAGCAATGGAAAACTGGATCAGCAATAGACGATCTAGTCCCATGACAAATCTTCCTCTCCAGTCTCTTATGCTCACACCAAACAGAACACTAAAAATGGCCATTAGTCGCTGGCTAGAGACTCAGCAGAAATAGTTAAACCACTTAATTTTGAAGTTGTTTGTTAAAATTAATTGAAATTTTATGCAGCTGGAGGAATTAATTGTATCAGAAACAAATGGAAAGCAAAACTTGTGTTTCTCTTCTATCTGTGGCTGGTTCAACCTTCACTGGTGGAAACTCCCAGAACAACTTTTAAGTTCCTGGTAGTTCTGCTTTGTGGTATTTCTGTTTAAGAATCAAGTACTCAAACTCAGTTTTTCAAATAAAATTTTCTTATAATTTTTACTATGTTTATGAGTTTTGAGTCTTCATCTTGCCAAGTCAGTCTTTCAGAAGGTAAGAAATAACAAAGTACAGGATCTGTATTTCTTTTTCTACTCTAACAAACCAAAATGTGTCTTCCTCTGTTCCCCATTACTGGACAAGTAGTTGGAAAAGCTGGGAGAGAGTTTCTCCTGTAACCATCAGGGACTGCATCTCATCCCACAGGTATATTCATAATCTTTATTTTGTATGGAAAGAGTACAGTAGCTGTGCAAAAATAGAACTACAGGACAAGACTAATATGGGACTTGTACAAAATATCAAAGAAACAGTAAACAATAAATAAGCTAAAGTGTAATGATACAAACTGCAAAAGGATGTGTAGAGCTGGGTACAGCTGTTTACAATGTACACCGAACACTGTAATCAAGCACGATGGGAAGAAGATAAAGCTGAGCACTCCACCTGAATTGCACTCATAGGAATGTCACTGCAGCAGTTCAGTTTCAGTATGTTCTTGCCAATAAAAATCCTCATTTCCTTAAAAAACCAACATCTCAACTTCATTCTGTCATGCAACTGCACATACACTGTTCCTCAAACTTTCACGTTCACGCCATCCCTTTCTTGGTTTCCCATAAAAACATTTACTAAGCATTCAGTTGTTGTACCTTTTCACAAATAAACAATAAATCATTTTGCTTTAAGATAGCACCCAAAGGTGATTAGATACCCTATATAAAGTGCGATTATTGTTAATAGGCCATAATAGTGTGTTCTTCAGTGCAATAACCAATATGGTCAAAGCCTCCCAATACACATGCAAATGTCACTCATTTTATTTAATTTCTTCTATTTACTAAAAATAGTTTTATTTACACATCAAAGCATGGCTGCTTATAGTTTACTCATACACAAATTATTTATGCTTCCTAAATGTACATCATGCAACCCAAATTAGATCCCACTAGAAAAGTGATAAAATAATTTGATTTGAAAAAAATGCATGCATGTACAGATCTGAGTATTCTGCAGCAGATTATCGCCCTTAGCGCTGCTGTGAGACATCAGCACGTAAGCTGTTGAGAGGCATGAGTACTATGTGTGAGATGCAAGAGAACCAAAAGCCAAGACTGAAGCCATATGTGAAAGGAAAGGCTTATTTAATGGTAACATGTGATAGGAAAGATTTCTCTGCTCGAGCTCCTAGGCCAACCTAATTAAGTCTTTCTACACTAATTTGTTATTCCAGTTACTGTCACTGCCTGTGATGGTAGGAACAGTTGGAAGTGGTTGTATCCCATAAAGACTGCTCCCTGGGACCCAGCCATGCCGAGGCAGTCAGTGTTTTGTAGAGCAGTCAGACCCTGTGATGTTGTGAGCCCAGTCTCCCCCCTCAATGTACAGAACAGTATTTACACATTTGATTCAATGAACGATCGCTTTGGTTTTGCCGTGGTGACGTGACTGAGGGGGCCGTCCTGAGTGCTGTGGGATGGCAGTTTGGCTGCAGCATCAGGGTATAAATGAGAACCTTGGTTGAGTGATCTGCTGTCTGTACAGTGGGGAGGGGTTTGGCATGGGAGCTCCTCACGTTCTTTTGCTTGCACGCTGCTCTGGCTGCCATCTCCAGGGGCAGCGCCTGTAGAGGATCCCTTAGTTGAGTAGTGTTTAACTGAGAACTGCTCCAAGCTGGAGGGCTGAATGCCTGCAGAAGCAACGTTTGTGGATAATCCATCTGCTGCCTGAGAGTGCCAAGTGCGACTAGACTGTGTGTTTTGCTGCTGAAACCTTGCAGTCTTGTCCATGATTCCCATAAATGGGGTAGCGCGAGGTCGGTGCTCAGTGCCCTGAGCTTGACTGATGTTGGTCTCCTTGAGTCGAACATCTGGGCCCAGCCCCTTAACACTGCCTGACAAACTGCTGGCTGCAGTGAAGCTGCTTGATGAGCTGGCAAGAATCACACTACTGGATGGAGAGCCAGAAGAGCCACCACTGGCTACAGGGCTTTGCTCCCTTGAGTCACTGAAATTCGTTGGAGCAGAGGCTGTTGATGCGTCACCAGGTTTAGATTTACAAGCAAAAGAACGAGAAGCGTGAGTCTCATGATGCTGTGGATGTGAATGCTGGCTAGACACAAACTTCTCATTGTGCAGTTCAGCAGTGGGGTCTGTGGAAATGCTTCCAGATGAAAATATGTTTGTCTTATCCACCTGTTGACTTCCACAGTGCCGGATGGGCAAGGGACTGTGGGGAAGATGCTGCAAAGGTGATTGTGGCTTGGTGCTACATTGACTGCTTCCTGGTTTAGATCCAGGCTGGATGGAGCTCAGATGCTGATTCGTTTTTACAATCTGTGCCTGCTTTGTTGGCTGCATAATCAAACCTGGCTCTCTCAGGTATTTGTTGCTTGTTCTGCTTTGAGGGGACACACACTGAGCTTTCTGAACACCTTCTTGAAGGGTCCTGCTAAATAATGAAGCAGCAGAGGAACATTGCAGCCTTTGTGGAGGAGAAACAGATTCACTGGGGTGTGGCAGGTCAGCTTCCCTGTCTCGAAGATTAAAATTATCGTTCACACCTGATACAATTCCTTCCTCCTCATTATCAGAATTGCTGGTTTGTTCAAGCAGCTGTGGACACTGATGCTTCTGTTGCTGTGTTCTCTGGAACTGTTTGCACTCCTCTTCCACCCGAGCCAAGAGACGTTTTATCTCCTGATTGCTGGGGCATATCTGAGTGGCTTCCCGTAGGTCAGAGAGAGCAGCAAGTAGTTTTCTGTTTAGGAACAAATAAGTAAACAATGAAAACGGGCAAATCTGTGTCCCAGCATTGCCTACTACTATTCCACCTCCACCCTTTTAGCAAAATGTCCTGATTTGTTGCTTCCTGCTGCAGGTGGTGACAAATTACAACTGGAAATTCTCCACCTCAGGAAATTCTTAACTAAGGTGGAAGCACAGACCCAACCCTGAATGCTTCCCTAAAGTATCCTGATACCCCATGCAGGCAGGCAGGAGAACTCTCTGCTGGGAACACCAGGAAATGACAATTTGTCTCACAAGCTCTTCCACAGTTACCTCTAGAGATAGGAACCTGCTGAACTCTGCTTCATGACCATTTATTGATGTTTAGAAAAGATATGGTGAATCAAAAAGACACCTCTTCCTGTACTTCAGCTATACCACTATAGTTTGTTATTCTTTCATCCTAAAGAGATGGTTCCTCATCTCTCCCCTATTTTTGTCTTCAACTGCTAACGATTCATCATATTATTTCCTATCAAAGTAGCCAGTAATAAACTGCAAGCTTGGCAATAAACAATGAAGTGCTGGAATTGGGTGGCACACTGCTGGTCACATTCTGCTGAGTCATGTGGAGCAGCAGACCTATTCACTGTTACATTTAAAATAATCCCTCTTCATATGAGTTTGTTACTTTCTGGACTACCTCATAAGTACTTACCGAGTATTCAATATCACTATTTGGATGTGGTTGGCTTTATCTGATAAGAGAGACCCAGTACACATGTAAAGTGCACTAAAAAATAATTTTTTCTTTGCAAATTTGAAATGCAACTAGCAGAAAAGAACAAGTTATTAAAAATGGCAAGTTAAAAAAAAAATCTCTGCAGTACCTGCTGTTCCTCTTGGCTCTCGCTCTGGCATAATAGGCTTCGTAGCACCTAGGCTTCAGATCCAAGGCTTTGGTAGCAAACTCTTCAGCCATTCCAAAATCCTAATAAAGGAATCAAGCACACCATTACACAGCGCCAGGCAAAGCAAGTTGCCAGCTGCAGGTCGTGCTCTGGCTCCAGGAGCGCAGCCAGCGCACGTGGCAGAGGCTCCTGCCCCGGTCTGCAAGAGCAGGTACTTCTGAAAGCACACATGGGCACAGCCATGGCACCTGGTTGTGCTGGTTGATAACAAAGGTAGCAATGTTTTGCATTCAGTCTTTTAAAAGTACCACAAAGATCCAGTAGTTCATCATTCCACAATAACTGCATGATGTAAGACCAGCTGTAATAGATCCCCCACGACAACATGCCCTCACCTTATAAGTCACCCATTTATTGACATGATAAAGCCCAAGATCAGGATATAGTGAAAAGGATTCTAAAATAGCACAGATAGATATCCACACACAACCCAGTAATGCAGTAGGATATAAGTCTCAGATTCCCAGTGCTAGAGAGGCAGCAGACTAACAGCAAGAGCTTACATTTGTTTTGCGGCGACATCGTGACAAGTTCAGGTATAATGAAACTCTCAGCTCAGTGAAGGCTTTCATTTCCTCACCAAACCCTTCCCTTGGGAACTTCCTCAATGCATACTGATAGCGCTGTGCTGCTTCCCTCATCTTGCCTTTCTGCAAATTTTAGGGAACAAGAAGTTTTTCACAAACGTCTAATATTGCAATACTGTCCAAAAAGCATATTTATATTTGACATCTAACAAGAGATGCCCTTCAAGCAGAAAACACAGAGAGAGATTTTCTAATAAATATACACAGTATGAACTACACTGTCAGAAAAGCACAGGGAGAACCTGCATGTTAATCAGAGTTTGTGTCCCTTTCTGAACTCAAATGTTTAATGGTATTTGACAAGGGTAATATTTGCACTAATATGTACTACTACTAGTACCAGAAAAAAAATCATATAATCTGATGTATTACTACTCTGTTTTAAACAGAGTTGTAATATGTTAGATTATATTACTGAAAAGGAGGCATAAAGGCATTCAGTCTACCTTCAGGCAGAAGTCCAATGTTCTGCTGCCAGAAAAAAAGAAAAATCCACCTACTTTATAGAGTGTATTTCCTTCTTCCATCAGTTTCTGCAGAAGAATCAGGAGAATATCGGGTTTGGAGGTGGCCATTGCCCACGCTGCATTTCCTGCAAGTTAAATTTTAAGGGTCTCTGACAAAAGGGAAGAAAGTGTGTTCCTGCTGTCTACCACAGCAGAAAGCCTGGTCCTACTTCAGTATATATTCCACCTACATGGAACCAATATTACTATTAT